TTATTCATAATATTTTTAATTAGAATTTGTCTAGTTTTTACTTAATTATAAACTGGTGAAAGCAGTGTAAAAAGCTACACAAAAAGAAGCCATGAAAGCCATATTTTTAAACCTTTCGGCCGAGCCACACGAGCCAGAGGGAGAGCCGCGTCAGCCAAGCCGAGCCAAGCCACTGCATAGTCAGTGCAGAAATTCGCGCCGTTTCTCCCACCATCACGCGCCTCGCGCGTCAACAGCATGCGGTACCTTAAGGAGTGCGTCCCACACACGCGCGTTCTCCAGTGCGTTTCCGTTTCTCCCGCGTGGGTCCCGCGTCTGCAATGCCAGTCTGATTCCCCAATGAAGCCGTGCCAGCTATCAACCTTGTCCCCTGTCTGACCATCGCTAGCTCCGTTTGTCCAATCCGCCCGCGACACGTGGCGCCTTTCCTCCTCACTTCCAATCACGTTGCGACACGTGTCCCCTTGGTGCTGAATCCGAATTTCTTCCCCAAAAATCAGAGTAAATTTCCAGATTTCTTCCCAAATCAAATATATGATTTCTTCTAATTTATGTGTAATTTTATTTTGTTTCCTTTTCTTTTGTAATTTTCTAGTTTTATAATTTATTTCCTTATTTGACAGGCAACCTCTGAACACTATAAATAGAGGGTTTGGCCTAAGGTTTTGGGGAGCTTTTAATATTCAGTTTTCTGTCGTCTTGCTATCAGTCTCATATTTTCTCTCTAGAACTTGTGAGAATGTTTTGCAAGATAGGCTAGAGTTTTCTTGGTGAGGTTAGAGATGAACTCCTGTTGAGCGACCCAATTTGGGGTTTTGATTCCTTGTGCTGTAAAGTTTCACATCTGAATAAATTAAATCTCATCTATTTTTCTATTACTTTTCAAAATATTGTGTGCCAATTTTTATATAAGTTCAGCCACGCTTTTCTTATGTAATTATGTCACACAATGTTTTGTTATTCAAATTATTTTATAAATTGTCTTTTACTGCAATATTGTCAGATTGATATATTGTCGATTTTAGATAACTTGTAATAATAATATTTTCTGAGCCAACATAGAGATTTAATTTATTCAATTATTTTATTTCGTGAATCAAAACTTGAATTGGTGAACGAAGCATTAAGGATTCTCGACACCTTACCGTTTTCTTCATACAGATTTTCTCCTTTTTTAT